TTGAAGATAAAATCGAAGTTTTTGGCTTAGAAAATGTCATATGATTGTATTAAAAAAAAAAAAATTACAAGAATGAAGGGTGGGTAAATTACAAGGTTTTTCTTTTACCTTTATTTTTTTTTTTTTTTGGTTTTTTTTTTTTTTTTATAATTAAATAATTTCTTTATTTAATTCTTTTTCTAGGAAAGACGTTCTGAAATTCCCAAGAACTTTGCAAGATGTAAGATTAATCCATGAAGCTTTGACAGGTCACGGAAATGATGATATCTATATCGTAATATGTTACATTGCAACTTATATATTGTAAGTACAATGACTTTTAGTTTATTTCACAAATCTTGATTTAATCGGAAATCTTTTTTATAGCTTACAGTCTTTTGCGGTACCAGGAAGTGTGATGCTTAGCGTGTTAGGTGGAACATTATGGGGAAGTTGGAAGGCTTTGGTTCTTGTTAGTTTTGTAAGTAAAGGTGGGCTTGTTCGAACTTTTTTTTAAAATAATTTTATTTATCTTTTGAATTAATATATATGCTACGAGAAAAGTGTACAGGTACAGGTGCAACTATTTCTTATCTGTTGTCTTACTATTTGGGACAGCCAGTAACTCAAAATTATCTCGCTGAGCGAATGGAACGTTGGAATGTACAGGTTTGAAACTTTGCCTTTCTTGATCTTCTTGAAATAATAACATTATAATTTTTTTTTTAACTTACAAAATTTTTTTAACACAAAAAGCTAAACTCGCATCGAAAGGGATTATTCTCATATATAATATTTCTTAGAATAGCACCTTTCTTACCAAATTGGTTCATCAATATAGCGTCTCCTCATCTTGGAGTTGGTATCGGAGTATTTTATTGGGCGACTTTCTTTGGTACTTTACGATTAAGATATCTTGAAATTTTTGAACTATTTATTATATAATTTAACATTAATTCTTTATTAATTTAAAAGGGGTTGCACCATTATCTTTTATTCACGCTCAAGCCGGGGAAACTATTCACGTGTTGTCAGAATCTGATGAATTCACTTTTTTGACCATACAAAATATCGTTGCGATGTCATTATTTGCTGTCACAGCTTTAATTCCTGTCATGTTAAGAAAAAAATTTGAACCACAAGAAAATACAAAGTTTATCGATCCGAAGAAAATTGTATAAATCGTTGTAATGTAAAATTCTTTTAAAAAAAAAAAGTGCAAAAAAAATCACGTGATTAATTGATTGATTTGAAATAATTGATGAGGATATGATCAATAAAATGATTGAATTAAAAGTCGGGAAAGAGAACATCTTCGGAAATAATAATATCCAATGTCGAATTCGGAAAATTTGTTGTCCATTTATTATCCTGCTTCGAAGAAGTATGAACATCATCATTTCATTTCTAACATTTCTCAAAATCAAAGTTTTCTTATCAAAAATATTTTTTAATCAGAGTTGCATTAATTATTTTTGTTAACTTTTTTATACTCACTTGAAGAATACGCGACTCAATGATAAAAAATATAATCATTCCGACATAAAAACAATTGTAATTAATATAATATTTCTTTTATAGAAAGACATTAAAATAAAGATGATTATCTAATTACTTCCTGTATACGATATACTTTATTCCGGGACAATGGTTGGACGTGATCGTGACAGTTGGGATGGGACGGAACAATCTAACAATGCTTGAGACAAGAAAATGCACAATGCTAATTGTTCTAATGATACCATTATCTTTTTAAAAATCATTTAATCTATGCTATTTAAACAATTGATATTGAATAAATTCTTGGGAGTTATAAGCCATCACCTCTTTTGAAACAATTTTATCAGAAAGACAAAGGTTGAAGGATTGGAAATAGTTCATTGCAATCTTTTAGTGATGATCCTTTATTAAAATATAAGATAATCTGCTATTTGAGAGACTGAGAGGAGGACCTTTAAGAGAAAAAACCGCTATTATTGATAGTAAATTTCGTTAAAGAAGAACCATGCCATACCATTTATCGAGGAAGATATTTCTCCAATAATTATTAATCAATTTCACTTTCCTCCTTTTTATTTTTTTTTTAAATAAGCCAAATAAGCCATTCCATGTTAAAGTATTTTGCAGCTAATTGTCTCATCATTTGGGTATCGAGTGGTTGTGACTCGATGTTATGTTGATAATCAGTCAGATTACACAAAAATGGCGTCATTAACTCCGTAAGATATTCGGTTATCACTTCTTCACCTTGATCCAAATAAAGTCCGCCAAAGTAGGTTTTATATGCATCAGCATATGTTTTATAATGAGCATCTTGGGGTATGTTATTATCTTCATGTAAATTTAGACATATACAATAAGCAACGAATAGTATTCTGCTATTTAAAAAGTCAATAATAATCTCTAGTGAATGGTTTAAAGGTTTCATAAAGTAATGTAGAACAATTTTCAAAGTGGATAATTTAAGCACATGATTTCCTAAATATTCATAACGTCTCCCATGTCCTCTGTAATTTTCACTTCCTTTGGCTATGTTACGAATATTAATATCACGAATTTCTGGTAATGATGGGAACCCAAGTGATCTAACATGGTTTTTAAATTCTGCTGTTTGTAAATATCCACCTAGATTAAAAAATCATAAGATAAGCAAAAATATTGTAGTTATATAAAAATAACGTATAAAGGAAAAAAACTTTACAATATATTTTAAATCTTGGGAGTGAATCAAGTTCACTACTTTCAGAGCTCAAACTAACATTCGTAATAATAAGACTTTCCGCATTTGAATCATCTAAATATTCGGGTTGAGTAATTCCGGCAGCATTACAAATCCAAAGTGCTCTTTTTTCCTCGCGACTACATCCCGCATTTATAGGATCATGATTCCTTGATTCTTTCTCAATTAAAAAACTTTCATCAAGTTCAACAATATCCTCCTGACCAAATTCATGATCAATCACGTTATCTTGACTAGTATTATTTATTCCGCCATGAATCTCACTAGAATCTTCATCAGACATTTCCACATCATAAATCTCATCATCACTTACATACGCTAAAGGAACCAGGTCTTCTCCCGCACTTGGTGACTGATTTAGTTGATCCGCCTTATTAGGTGATATAGATTTTTTCTCGTTGATCTTGTTTTGTTGTACATTTAATGATGTATATTTGATAATCTTATTCAATATGACACCAATTGCATTCTCGAAAGAATCAAAAGTATTTAAATTTGAAGAAAGAATAGTTGAAATATTTTCTTCACTGATACCTTGTGATAATCCTAACATGGATATGAGGTTCAGACAAATTTGGTGCTGTTTCTCCTTGCAAAGTTGTCGACCTGTATCAAAAGTGTCATTTGATATAGATTCAAACCTTAAATTATCAAAATTAAATAATGGCACCTCTGTATTTGTAATGGGACACGTCGTTGCTTGTGCTGTAAACATTTTTTTTTTTCACATATCCAAAAAGAGAAATAGAGCAGAGAACCTAAATTAACGAAATACTTGATTTCATAAATTATCAGAAAAAAAAAAGAAATCTATAAAAACAATCAACAAAATATCGAGGGGTTATTCCTTTATTACGGTTTCCTTCACGTTATTGAAAATATGCGATGTGTAGGTTACATTATTCCTTAAATAGTAACAAATTTGCAGATAATTTTAAAATTTATTAATTAATAACTTTATAATTAGCTCTATATAATTTAATAATTCATCTTAAATTTTTATATACAGTGTGTTGCAAAAAAAAACCGGAATTTTTAATTTTTCCTATAAGTATTTATTTAAATTATATATAATAAATTTAGAAATATATGTAAAATTTTGATACGAATAACTTTCTTAGTCATTTGACCACTTTTCATAATAAAATATTTCATAATTATCAATTTTTTAATTAAGAAAATTTAGTAATAAAAATATTTTAAGAAAAATTATAATTAGTTAATATATAAATTAATTTAAAGAAATTACTACTTTATATTATAATATATTTTAATTTTTAATTTTAATTTTAATGTTTATAATATATTAAATTATTAATTAATAAATAAATAAAATATTTTGACTTTATAATAAATTTTTTTTAAAAAAAATTTGTATTTAAAATGTAAATTACAAAATATTTTATTAAGGTAAGCTATCTAAATTTTTTCATTAGATTTTCAAGTACTTATATTTAAATCTTTGTATCATTTGAATAGATATTTATCAAATAAATACAAAAATAGTAATTCTAGTTTTTTTTACAACACACTATATAAGATTAATTATGATTGTTATACTTATTACTAAAAAATATTATTTCTTTTAAATAGTATTTACATTAATTTAAAATATGTTCTAATAACATAAATATCCTATAATTTAAATACTAAAGATATTTTATCACCTGATTTTTATTATAACATATTTGCATAAAACTGATAGTTTCAAAAAGATTTAAAAAATAAAGAAATACACATACACATACAAATAATTGTATTTTATCATCTTTATAATGTGTTTTCTATAAACTTAATGAAGAAAATCTTATTATTTCTATTATTCAAAATACTACAAGTATATTTCAGCGTAAATTGACAAATTACTAATTAAATTGTATTTTGATAGACAAATTATATTTTGACAGATGTTAATAATTTATAATAAATATTGAATGATGTAATTAATTTGATATCATCAAAATTAATTAGTGTTAAAGTATAACTACAGGTCTATTTAAATCAGAATTTATATGTATATCTAAGAAAAAATATATATTATTTACTTTTATAGTAATAAATACTTTATATCAAAAAATTTTAGAAAACTAAATACTCTGAACTAGTAATAATAAGATTTTATAATTTTTAAATTATAGAAAATTTAATAATATTTTTTCTAATATTTATCAAATATAATTATTTTAATTATAATATTAAAAAATTAATTATTTAAAAAATAATGAATATTATAATGTAGAATTAGGATCATATTGCTTGTCAATTTTAGATATATTAATTAAATATTAATATATTGAATAATATTATCTTTCAATTTTAGTTATATTAGTTAAACATTAATATATATAAGCTAAACAATTATATTACTTTTGATATTATCATTATTAATTATATTGTATATAATATATATATTATTTTTATTATTCATAATGAAATAATTAATTTGTTAAATTTATTTTTCTATTTAATTTAATTAATAATCCAACTTTGCTAACAATTTAAATTGAATAAAATTCATATTAATTTTTAATTCAAATAAGGAATTATTAGGATTACTTAATCATAATAGTTATTTGATTATAAAGAATTTTAGTTTATTTTAACATTACTTAATAATAATAAAATTTTTATTAAAATTTTTTTTAAATAAATCTATTAATATATTTTTAATATATTAAATTTTATTTACATTTAGATGCAATTATAAATTTACTAATTTTTTATTAAAATTTTTTATTTTCTATAATATTATTCTTTGACTAAATAATTAATCTATAAAAAAAAAATAAAAAATAAAATATATTTATTTATTTAAATTAAGTATGATTAATTTACCTATTATATCTGATTAGTTTACATTTTTATGAATATAAATTATCATTTTAGAAATTATTTCTATTTGTTTATTATCAGTTAGTAATATATATAAGGTTAATCCTTCTTTAAAATAATATAAGGCTATAATTAAATATCTTCTGATAAAACTTTATTATTTCTAATATTTATATTAAAATTTTTGGCTAGCATGATTAGTTATTTTTTATTTTTCATATTAATCTACAAATTAATTTTATAAAACTTTTTAATTCTTTTGTTCTAATATATTTTTTTAAAACCAAATATCTAAATATAAAGCTATAAATATAATAAAGTAATTAAATTAATAAAACTTATCAAATTTTTCATTTACTTCTTGTAAATAAAAATTATCATCAGCTTCATATGATTATAATGATAAAGATTTATTATAAAAGATAGTAATATTATAATGAAATTGAAGTAGAAGTTATTCAGCTTTTTCTTATCTCAATTTTAAATCATATAAATTAATTTTAGAATAATATTGAAATTACATAACTTTTATTCATATTTTTAGTAAATTATTTGCTTTTATTTCAAAATGTTCTTTTTTTTAAGTTTATAATATATTGTATTATAGAA